AAATTAGGTGCCTCGGCTTATATTCGGGTCGGCCTATACTCGAGTATATACGGTACTTTCTTGGGACTGGTGAAAGGACTGCATTGTAGACAGGGGATAAGTGGTCTCTCCCCCCTCTCTTGAGAGAGGGCTCTTCAGTTTTAACACAGATGGCTTCTTTGACCCCTCCAAAAAGAGGTTGGGTAATTGTGATTAGGAAGTTGTGATTAAGTGTACTGTGAGAATCAACCACAGAGTTAATACTGAAGGAGTATATGAATCAATATTGGCTATCTGCTTTTATTATGAATTGCTTATGTTACTATATAATTATTACTGATTAAACCAATATTTGCTGTTTGCTTCTGACATGATATACTGCTAGAAATCATTTATTAAGAATTAAGCTTTGTTATTGGCTTCTGCTTATATTATTGTATGCTGTCAGAAATTAGTTGTTTTCTAGCCTAGCAAATTGGAACCTTAATACTGGACTACAAGTGTTATGTCACTGCTGCGTCTGGCTTCTATTCTTGGCTTCAAAGCTAGGCACATTCTTGAAAACATAGAATAAATTGTTACACAGGAATATGAGGCCCCATAGATAAAGGAACCAAACTAGGGAGTTTTCTTGGCTCATAAATCCTTAAAGCATTCTGCCAGAAAAACAACTTGGCAAAGGGGGGCTGCCACCCCCTATACAAGGCAATAGGAATACTCCACAGATAAGGTAGACAGAGACAGGAGCTTGAACAAAAGAAAGCTTTAAAGATCACGTTGGTAACGAATCTTTGTCTCTGATTGGATAAACTTTGTTTGTATCTCCCTAAAATGTATATAATACTCTGAGCCACTCTTGCAGGGTGTGGCTATTCCTTATATGCATTTGTTTGTATGTTTTGGGCATAGTTTTGTCACTCAGCTTTTCCTATGGCCATAAATAAAAGCTGATTTTTTTGCAAGCCTCGTGGAGTCTCACTCTCTTTGGCATTTCAGTGGCTCAGGGAAATTGCTGGAACCTTACAATACATTGTATTAATCTGGCCATAATACTAAACTGTAATATGCTTTAATTTTGGTGGCACAACAAGTTATGCAAATATAGGAAGTGCTTTCTTAAATACTGGTTTAGGATACTGTATAAACTCAGAAGGGGACAGAAGGGACTGACCAAAACAACTTTGCCTTCCCCATTTCCAAATGAGAGTCTTATAAATGTGGTTAAGATTTGTTAAAATGAAAACAGAATCTAAACCAGTGGTAGTCAACCTGGTCCCTACCGCCCACTAGTGGGCGTTCCAGCTTTCATGGTGGGCGGTAAGGGTTTTGTCCGATATTGAAGCACTTTCCTTTTTTAAAATTTCATTGACTTTTTTAAAAAAAGTCATAGCATTATTTAAAAACATTTTCATTAGGTTTTCATAAAATCACAATTACTGTGGAACCAATGGGCGATTAAATTTTTTTACTACTAATAGAGATACAAAAGTGGGCGGTAGGTATAAAAAGGTTGACTACCCCTGATCTAAACTGTAATTTAAACGTGTACATTGTAAGAAAGTTAGCACCCATCCATGTCCTAGAAGAATGAAATATCCTAGGAAATATTAAAAAGGCAGAATATTATATTTCCCTGGATCAGGAAAGGAGAAACATGTTTTAAAGACAAAGCAGCTTCCTGCAACTCCATTCCCCCCCTCCCCTTCAGCTCCAGGGTGATGGGATTAAGACCTTCACCCTCAGGACATGATAGGATTAGCTTCATTACCTCATCACCCAGCAAGATTCAACCAAGCCTGGTACTCAAGACAACCTACAAAGTTACCCCTGCATGGCCCCATGGGAATCTGACAACCAATCAGGATACCTGCCCTTACACAGGAACAGGAAGCTCCAAGGCGGGGCCCAAGAGAGGGTATAAATCAATCAATCTCTCTTTCTCCTTCCCTCCCTCCCCCCCCCCTCTCTCTGTCACCTATGTGCTCGATTGCCCAGGACCTCAAACCATGTGGTCCTGTACACCATTAAACCATCTTTCCAAACAGCTTCCATGTTTCAAGTGTTTTTCTTCCCACTTGGAACTGAACCCAGCCGGACATTTCTTCCAACAACATCTACATTATGTAATGATTACAAAACACAAGTAAGTTGGACATTAGTTTAGCCAGCCAAGCTTTGTCTTTCTCCAGATTTTCAGATGAACTGACCACAATATTTTTAAATGCACAGTGTCTGTGTTTATGTTGTTGCTCATTTGACCATTTCTGCATTATCATCCCAATCATCTTTGAAGATGTATCTTAAAAGTTGCAAAACACCATTGTCTTGTAACAAAGGGTGTGTGACATTCTAGATACTGGCCATTGGGTATTATTTACAAGCAAAACACCCCAAATTTAAACTCAGTGTTTTCAATAACAATTTTTCTTAAAATAGAAGCATCTTTGCGTGAAATGATGCCAACTCTGCTCCTACAGCTCTCTCATTTTAAAACCTATTGAGGCAGAAAGTCATCCTTACCGCCATCAGGCAGCGAATGGTTGAAGATCCCTTCGATGGTCTCACAGGTGGTCCCATCTCCTCCACAAACCCGGCATTTGTCCTCCTTAGTGTCTGAGCCTAAGATGCGGTCACAGCCCACATGCTTATGAGAAATAAATGGAAAATGTTGGTGGATCTGGTGCTATCATTTTAATAGCTTTCCTGTTCGTTCCCATAAAAACCTAAAATGCTCCTTGATCAGATTTTTTTTTAAAAAACCCTGTTTTTTCGCACAGTGGCCATACAGGTGTTGTCACAAAGCCCACATAACCCTTCTTTTTTTGTTCAATGCTAAAAACTGCCTCTTAGAAAGAATTTTCATGAATTGTATCCAAGGTCCATCAGGGCCCTTTCAAAAGTTCACAGGCATAGGACAAAGGAAACTGCCTTTCCTGTGGCTGTTTTTCAACAAATACTATCAACAATCTTTTAAAGATGTTTTTAAGATGGCCAATTGTTAATGATTGATCTTATCGCTCATCAGTTGGTCTCATTATCTTTTCTAGCCACCTGAACAAACACCATGAATATATCTTGTGCCAGTGAATTCCATTGGCTAATTCTCCAATGGAAAAGGTACTAATGCACCTAATTGTATTCTTACATTCACCTCCAAATTAAGTCCAGAAGTAGCATACGAAAAGTCCTTGACTTACAACCAGTCCCTTAACAACTGTTTGAAGTTACAACAGACCTACATGGGTGGGTGACCTGATTTACGACTGTCATGACTTATGACTGTGATCGGCAAAGCTCCATTATGGTCGTAGGTTGAGGACTACCTGTATTACACTGGAGCAATAAGCAGAGAGTACCGTATGGGCAGGAAAGACCAATGGTTTGAGTAGCGTGCAATCACCTTGCACTCTCCGCTGACGCAGATGTCGTGGGAGTCCTGGCGGCAAGCCGTTCCATCAATCACCGCTGCAGCCCGCTCAGTGTAGAAGTTAAAACCTTCAGCCAAACAGTTGAGTGAGCAGGACTTGACACCACCTGCAAGCCGGGGATTAATTCACATGAGTTCATCAGAGGCTGGATTGCAGAATAGTACCTTTACTGAAAGCAGAATGAATCTTTACCTCATTAAGCAAAAAATGTGCATTTGTGTTGTGTTTGTGGCACATGTCCCAAGCCTCTTCCTCAGTCAGAACAGAGGTGGTATTCAGCAGGTTCTGACCAGTTCTGGAGAACCAGTAGCCGAAATTTTGAGTAGTTCATAGAACCAGTAAATACGATCTCTGACTGGCCCCACTCCCATCTATTCTCTGCCTCCCGAGTCCCAGATGGTTAGGATCAGGGGTGGGTTTCAGGCGGTTTGCGGCGGTCCCCGCGAACCGGTTGGTCGGCGAACCCGGAAGTAAGTAATTTCCGGGAACGCCGAAGGATCCACCTGCCTGCCCGCGTTTCTTACCCGGTTTTGACGAGTTCTGCGCTTCCACGCATGCGCAGAACGCATACAGCGCCTGCGCGATCCTCCAGGAGCAGCTGGAGCATCGCACAGGCGCTAGTACACATGCATGCACTGCGCGCGTGCACGAGGAGGCCGCCGGCCCCGTTCCAACCGAACCAGTTGGAACGGGGCAAGAAACCCACCCCTGGTTAGGATCCTGGATTTGCAGAAAACAGTTGACGGGAGGACTCACTCATAAGTTCCCTGATATTATTTTGGGTTAAATAATACCCTTTACTAACTGGGTAAATTTTTTGCATTGGGCCTTCAGGCCTGCCACATTTATCTCTGTGGGAAACTGGGAGGGGGGGAATTATATGGACAAGGTAGATATAGTCAATATAACATTCCTTTCTCAGAAACTCAAGGCCTTCTTGCTCTGCAGCTGGAGTGGCATGACTGGGAGGCATCTCCAGTTGGGACGGTGCCTGATTGGGCCATGTGACGGACATGTGGGTGTTGGGCAGGAATTTGAACTTTCTTTTGGGTGTGGAAAACCTGGAAACTTCCCAGATGTGCCAATATAACATCTCTAATAAAATGGAACTTTGAAGAAACTCAAGCCTCGGGGTCTTCTTTTGTTGGGGGTGTTATTGGAACCCCGACACTAAGCAGGTATGTGCTACCTTCTGGACCCTGAACCGACCTGCTTAAGTGTGTTGTGCGAACCCTGGCTATTGTATCAGCAAGCGAAAGAGGTACCTCTTTCGACTAGGAGAGTCAAAAACTGAAGCCATGCCTACAAATCCGAAGGAAGAAGATTGATTGCATATCCATCTGTCCCCCTTATATTTTAAATTCATTTCAGCTCCGGCTTCCTGGAGTTCCACACTGCTCAGCTCCTTCAGAGGGTTAGCAGCTGAGAAACCTGGAGCTTATTAACAGATGTCTCAGAGGTGGTTTGGCTGAATGGCCGCGTCTGAGTGTTTAGCAAAAACAGATGGAACAGTGGAAAGGAATCTCAGTTTGAAGGATGTAAGCCAGGATATGCAGCTTTGGTTGTTGGGGGGGGGGGGTTCTTTTCTTTTTTGGCCAAGGGCCATACTTGACCTTTGAGCCACATGCCAAAGGTCTGGGATTTGTTTAAGGAGCTAAGCATGTTTAAGGGAAAGTGACAAGAATGCTGGTAAATCAAGAAACCAAACCCTGGAAAGAATATTAAAAAAAAAAACCTAGGAAGGTTGGCCTGCAGGACAGATAATTAAAGGAAAGCACAATGCTGGTCCCCCCCCAAATTATTGTACCTTACTAGTATAGAACGTTAGCACCCCTCTCCTAGAAGAACAAAATATTCTAGGAAATATTAAAAAGACAGAATATTATATTTCCATGAATGAGAAAAGGAGAAACATATTTTTAAAGACAAAGAGCAGCTCCCTGCCTCAAGCAAATATTTGGTGCCCGTTGAGGAAGACTGGGTGATGGGATTAAGACCAGGGGTGAAATTCAGCAGGTTCTGATAGGTTCTGGAGAACCGGTAGTGGAACTTTTGAGTAGTTCAGAGAACCGGCAAATACCACCTCTGGCTGGTCCCAGGGGTGGGGGTGGGAATGGTTTTTTTGCAATATCCTTCCCCTGGAGTGAGGTGAGAATGGAGATTTTGCAGCATCCTTCCCCTGCTACGCCCACCAAGCTACAACCACAGAACCGATAGTAAAAGAAAAAAAAAAGAATTTCACCACTGATTAAGACAGTGTTTCTCAACCTTGGCAACTTAGAGACATTTGGACTTCAACTCCCAGGATTCTCCAGTCAGCCAATTTGGTAGAGGAATTCTGGGAGTTAAAGTCCTCAGGTCTTAAAGTTACCAATGTTGAGAAGCACTGGATTAAGACATGACCCTCTAGGATATTATAGGATTATCTAGCAGCAGGGCTCACCGCATGACAAAATCACCTGGGGGCAATGCATCACCCAGCAAGCAATAGCAATAGCAATAGCAGTTAGACTTATATACCGCTTCATAG